TACTAAATTTTCCAGACATCGTGCATTTGGGTAGCATGTTCACAGAACTTAAAAAAAAAAAAAGTTTTCTGTCCTTTTGGTATTTTGAAATTTGACAGAAGTTTGAGAACAAGTGAAAAACAGCAAAAATGTAGTGAGGAAGCTTATATTTTGATTATCTTGTTTAACACAATTTGCTATTTCCTTTCTGGATTTGTCATTTAGTTAAGTATTGAGATAGAGATTTTTTTTATTACAGTGTTTTTTTGTGAAACTGAAGGCATAGATTACAGAACTTCACATTTATACCTGAAGCTTCTTTTGCAACTTACCCTTGTGTCTGTGGAAGTACAGAATGTTACATTTAATTGGAAAACACAGTAGTCTTACTGCTGTCTCGGAGTAGCTTTTTGATTAACTTTAATTTGCAGGTTCTTGGTGAGATTCAGGAGATTGTGAAAACAGGCTTGTGGGTTGGCGACTGCTTTATTTATACCAGCTCTGTGAACAGACTCAACTACTACGTTGGAGGAGAAATTGTCACGATTGCCCATTTAGACAGGTAAGTTGCTGCGTTAGATTGCAAGAAAGCCCTACATTTTTCAGTACAAGTTATGGCAAAGTAAATCCTCCACTTGCCCTGCTGCATTACTTTTGGTTACTTTATAATGCTAATGTTCTGAGGCAATTAATGTAATCTTGCATAGGATAAATAGCATTACATGAAGGCGTGGTTATACAGTAGAAGTTGATGCAAATATTCTTGCTACCATTGGATTTTCTTATGTAGTACCTCATAGTAAACTTATCCAAGGTGAAAAATCTTTGTTTTGTTTCAGGACGATGTATCTTTTGGGGTATATTCCTAAGGACAACCGACTGTATTTGGGTGATAAAGAGCTAAACATTGTTAGCTATTCTTTGCTGGTCTCAGTGCTTGAATACCAAACTGCTGTGATGAGAAGAGACTTCGGTATGGCTGACAAAGTTCTTCCCACAATTCCAAAAGAGCAGAGAACCAGAGTGGCGCATTTTCTTGAAAAACAGGCAAGAGAACTATTTCTTAGACATCAAAAAAGTAATCAGCTGATTATTTGTAATTGAAAAAGCCACTAACTTCCTGTAAGTGAATCTTCTTAATCATCTGTATTTATTTGGAACACTGTAATCTTTTCTTTAGATGGCTTTTGTTAAAACTTCTAGGATGCTGTTTGACCTGATGGATTATTTTGATTATCTGTTTACTTCAGGGCTTCAAACAACAAGCTCTTGCAGTATCTACAGATCCAGAGCATCGTTTTGAACTTGCTCTTCAGCTGGGAGAATTAAAAATTGCTTATCAGCTTGCAGTAGAAGCAGAGGTAAACATACAATTTCTGGTGATTCGTAATAATTCTGATTATAAATCCTAGAGGCCCCATAAGAAAAGGCAGTGTGAAGATGCAGCACAGCTCTGTGAACACTGTAAATATGCCTCCAACTTCCTTACTGAAGTTTCTCTGCCTGAGCTGTGGGATGGAAACAGAAGCATGTTGTCAAGACATTCCAACAAGAACAAAGCCTTAATCTTCAGTGAGAAGTCCACAGAGTGAAGTGGCAGAACTGAAGCCTCTGGGCCTTTGTTCCAGCCTTGAAAAACTTGCATCATTTCTGATGTTCTAGGAAGACTGACAGGCAGTGATTTGTCCTACAGCTTTTTTTTATTATTATTTTATTATTAAGATAATTGGTCTCACTGTTCCTTTTGTAAAATAAGGAAGTGGTAGGACAAGTTAATGTTCCTCATTCAACAGGCAGAGGACAAAGCAATGTCCATGCTGTGTAGTGACAGCATGGCAGTGGTAGTGCAGAACAAACTGCAAGAGTCATTGTATCTTAACGGTAAGACAAGTGCACTGATGGGATACAGTACCTTAATAGGTGAACTTAGAGCTTATGTTGAATGCTTTAAAAATCTTTAATGGTATTCAAAAATATGAGCTTTGGTTTTTTCTTTATCCTTCCTCCTGTTGTGCTTTTTAGTCAGAACAGAAGTGGAAGCAACTTGCTGAACTTGCCATTAGTAAATGCCAGTTTGGCCTGGCCCAGGAGTGTCTCCACCATGCACAAGACTATGGAGGACTACTTCTACTGGCTACAGCCTCAGGAAACGCAAACATGGTGAATAAATTAGCTGAAGGAGCAGAAAAAGATGGCAAGAACAACGTCGCATTTATGAGCTACTTCCTGCAGGGAAAGTAAGTAGTGATGGTCCTCATTGGGCTTTCTGAAACACAAAGAACATCTGATCTCCAAATGGCAAACTACAGCTAACTTAATTTCAGGAGGAAAGACAGTAGCACGTACCCTTCAGAAAAACTGTTTGATGATGCCTACTTTTTAAAATCGGGCACTTTTAATTTACTGACATCACAGACTGAACAGCTATAATGCAAAAGTCTAACTTGAAAACTTATTGATAAAAATTCTATTTTAAAATCTGTTAGGCTTGACTCGTGTTTGGAACTCCTGATCAAAACCGGACGTCTCCCAGAAGCTGCTTTTCTTGCACGGACCTATTTGCCAAGCCAAGTTTCAAGGTAACATTAAAGTATATGCAAGTCCTAGTAGTAGAGTCAAAACTGCCTTTATACAATGAATCTGATCTCTGTCTCCAGGGTTGTTAAACTGTGGCGGGAGAGTCTCTCTAAAGTTAACCAGAAAGCTGCTGAATCTCTTGCTGACCCTACAGAATATGAAAATCTTTTCCCTGGATTAAAGGAAGCTTTTGTTGCTGAAGAATATGTTAAACAAAGTCTTGCTGACCTGCGGCCTGCCAAGGAATACCCCCTTGTCACTGTAAGTAAGAAGTGAGAGCTCCTATTTTCTCTGAAAGAGAAAAATTTGAAGTTGTGCAAATTCTGCTGTAAGCAAGTCAATGAAATTACTTACTTAAACATTCCATTAACATGTCTGCACTTCCTATATTTTAGCCAAATGAAGAAAGAAACTTACTTGAAGAAGCAAAAGGCTTTGAACCATCGGGAGTAATGGCATCTCAGGTCAGTGTTACCACCAAATGACGAAGCCTAAGAAGTGCTTGTGTTGGAAGTTCTCCAGGGTGGATGTTACTGTACAGCTGTGATCATTGAACTGTTGCTCTTACGGGCTTGACTACTGCAGTTTAGTTCCACATTCTTCTGCCTCAGACTTCTAGACTAAAAAAGTAGATTAAAGAAGTCATTAGTAGTTACAGAATTATTTACTCCATGTGGCTGCTTATGGTTTTGTTCTGCTACCATTTCACTCAAGTACATGTGTGTAATCACAGTGCTGCCACTGAATTCATCCTGAAAAAAAATTGCATATCAAAACCCTACTGCCTCAACTGCTTCTAGCACTCTGAAAGCTCAGTAGTTGGACCTTGGAATCTCTTACATACCTCAGCAATTACAAATGCTTTATATTTGTTGCTATTATGCATGGCTGAGGTGTAAGACTGCTTCAAAAGTTAGAGAGTAGGAGTTTTGATTGATTATTTGGAAATAGAATATTCTAAGTAGTGAAGTAGCTCAGACTGATGGTTTTATCACTCAAGTGAAAGTTTTCACCTTGTGAAAGTTATCTACATGTTAATTTACAATTATCTTGCATAGAAGCTATAAACAAGGCCTGCCATGTTCTTCAGTTGCACTTCAGTTTTAAGTTCTTTAAATTAATTGACACAGACTGAAGGCTTTTTTTTCTAACAACTGCTTTGAATTAAATGGGGGCAGCGGGGGGAAACAAACATGGTAGGCTCCTCTGGAGACCAGAAAACTTAATGGCCGTGAAGATGTGATTCTGGAATTACTGAGAGAAATTTTAGAAGACAGCCATCAAGGCTTGGGGGATGTGCAGAGGGGCTGTTGTTTGCTTAATTTTAACAAAAGTTATCTTTTTCATTAGAAAAAGACAGAAGAAGCATTTCCATCTCCTAAACCAGAAGTGATGAATACAGTACTGCAGAATTCTGATCTGCTTCCACCACGAGATCAAAAGGTACTGGAATGTATCTTAGGAATGGAAGGAGTGTCATGGCTGAATGAAGAACTTAAGTATACCACATAATGTCACTTTTATCTTTATATGAACCACACTCCTGAGACTTATTACACTGTGTGGATCTCTTCCTGTAGAGTGCAGAAACTACACAGTAATGTAGAACAATTCCTACAGCCTTGTGGGCTTAAAAGGAAACAAATGGAGTCACAACTCAGAACAAAATAACAAGTTGCAGTACTGCAAACTGCTTTCTTATTCAAGAAGGCATTTCTTTCTGGAGGTTATTGTAGGTCTTATGCACTACTTGACTGCCTTAATATTGCTGAATGTTTCAGTACTTCGTATAGCATTATACAAACTACATCTGCTGTCACAACAGCTGTCTAATGTGTCTCTCTGGACTTAATTCCCAGACACTTCTGGATTTGGAAGATGACCTCGATAACTTAGACCTGGAGGATATTGATACCACAGATATCAATCTGGATGAAGAGATCTTAGATGACTGAACAGAGTTCTGGATGACCAACTCAACTACTGCTTACTCCAAACAAAGGAATGAAGTTCTGTGGACTACATGCTCCACATTAACTCGATTTTTATACAGAAGATGGACCACGTAGATGCAGGGAGAGGGGCAAACCCTGCAACTGTAAAAGATTTGAGTATGTTGAAATTTAAGATACAGACCTGCTCTAAAGCATCGTGGAAGCGTTTTCATTTAACGTGCAGTTCAATAAATCCTTTTAAACATTCCATTCCTGTTCTCTTCTCTATTTCAAGAAGTAAATTGAATTACAGGCAAGTGTTTATTCAGCATCCATCACCTTGAAGTAGAAGAGAATGGGACAAGACGGAGTTCACGTATAGTTCTTCTGCAACTAAGCTGTTTCTCTAGTGAGTCCTATTATGTACCAAAACATGTTTTTAGCATATACAGTTATCCAAGGTATTTATTGTGGAATCCTCTACAAAGAAAGTTCACAAACAGCTCAAAATAATGATAAAGAATTGTTTATTTCATGAAGCTGTAGACGTAGCCATTGCTTCTTGGTATGCCTGGAGGGCCAATTGTATATAGCCTTCTTTCTGTGATTCAGTTTTCACAAAGACCTAGAAGCAAGGGGGGATGAAGATTAATGTACACTTAGGAGCAGAGTACACAGTGAGATTTCATCACTCCAATGGTTTGTCAGCCATTTCTTCTCCATCATTATGCTGTTTTATATATTTTAAAAAAATATACAGCAGTTTTAGTTAATTACAGGAAGCTATTGACAAGGCTTCTGGTGTTCAAATGCGTTACCTTCTGTAGGTAACTGTGCTTAGAACAGAAAAGTGTACCTTGATCAGATCAATTCCATGAAGTTTCCCTTCTTTGGCTTCTTTTGCTGACTGACATTCTGGATGAAGCATGTGATACAGTGTGATTAAACTTGTGGCATCATCCAGCCTAAACAAATAAAAGTTCAGTTGTAGCTATGACTGTTTCTAAATAATTTGAGTGTGCTTGCACACCATGGGCCTTCATACACTTTCACCTCATATACACAGACATTAGAATAGAGAGCTAACGAGGCAGCCCATAATTTACTGTAATAGCACCTTGTTCCTGAGAAGGAAGACCAGAAGCACGTGCAGCAATTAAAAGACAGAAACTGACTCATACTGCAGTTTAAGCCTGATCTACTACTGTTCAGGAGCCATAAAGCTGAAAGCCATAAAATACAAGGAACTGTACATAAAACATAAAATTAAGCAACTATAAGAGGTTAATTTCTGCAGACACCTACTTTGGTACCTTAACACTTTGACTGCAATGTAGCTGGTACTTCCATTCAGAATCTAGGTAGCGAGAAATTACAGCTAGTCTAAAATATCATGCAAATGGAAGCTTTCAGACATCTTACGGAAATGCCATTTTTCAAACAACAGGCCTTTACATTTTCTATTTCTCTATAAACAGAATAAATGACAAACACCACTTACAAGTCTCTGTTGATCATATCTATCAGCAAGCCATCCGTTTTCTTTCTGTTTACCAGGTACCACACCATGCCTCCAAAGTGCCTTGTTGAGCGGAGCAGATCGTATTTCGCATGTTTCTCAATGTCATCATATGTTCGATGATGAACCTGGACACAGAATTCAGTTTCAATAGCATAGGCAGAGCTTCATGACAGTTCCTCCTCTTTACCTTTCACGTAGATTCTTTGGATCCATTTTTAGGCCTCTCTAAACTGTGGCAGTAAGCCACAAGTTCAACTGTGCTACTTTAAAGCTTTACACTTGTTTTAATTTGGGGTAACACTGGGACAACCCAGTTCTTAGAACTCATACATAGATGTGTGTTAAAAAAAAACTAAATGCAACCCACACACTGGCAATTTTGGGAGGGAGGGACATGAACTCTGAACCTTCATTGCACTGCCCTCAAGGTACAATCTATTTTTCAATGAAGTCAAAGCAAAGAGTTGCTAATGGAGAAAGTTGAAGAAGTTACTTGAAACACTGATTAATGGAAGTTCTGCTCACAGCGATTCAGGAAATTAGTTAACATTAAATAGATACAATAGAAAAACTTTCTAACAACATAACAATTAATATCTTCATTAGTACTTACAGTTACTAAATTGACACCCTTCAGCTGGAAGTGTATTTTTGTACCCAGTTTTTCTCACAAGCATTAGTTTATTTTCTGCATGGTGCTCTCAGATGCATCAGTTATCTACCTCCTTTTTTCAAATCCTAGCATAGTAGTCAAGACAACTCAAGCAGCACAACTGGGGCCAGTTACAGTTACTATCAGTTCTGGTTGGATACCAGAAGACTATTTTCTGCATCTGTACTTCTTTCTATACGGTTGGAAAATATTTAAATGGGTCACTTTTCTGAAAAAAATAAAATAAAAAATAGAAAGCTCATGGCAAAGATAGCAAGTAATCCATGGGAACAGGGGGGAAGAACATACCTGAACAACTCTGATCCCCAGACAATATTTATGCTTACAAAATAAACCTTGAAACGTCTTCCGTAATGCTTTTTTACTTTAAAAAAAGTGAACTTACTCTGATATAGTCAGCTGAATCTGGCTCAAACTGAGCAATGCACATGTTAAGGATATCTTCATGACGGTCTTGCTGAAACACAGTCTGAAACAGTTTAAATTCAGGCATAGGTCACATATCACAAAATTGCAACTCTCCAAAATTTAAATGGCAGTGAAAACATTCCTCTTCTGGGCAACACAGCACAGGTAACTATTACACGTGTACTTACAGTACGACAGAATATTTACATTACCCAGTATTTATCTGGTTGCAACTCTGAATTTTATTTTAAGCAATTTAAGCAAGTTACGCTGGTAAGCAATTGTTCAAGAAGATTAAAACCTACCAACCAACTGGCTTATTCAGAGCCACTACTCTGTCCAAACAGCACAGCTTCACTGTCACAGCATGGTCGAGAAAATAAAAACCATCTGTTTTTTCAATCCCAGTTCTTACCCCGAGGTGTTCGTCCTTAAATAACACTGGGGGAGTAACTCTGCGCCCTTCTTTGGGGAAGAAGATCTGTATCATGCGGTCTCGCTCTTCCCAGGTTGCCTTACGTAATACACCGTTTGGTTCTCTAACGACAATGAAACGTTCCTGAAAAGATCAGAAAGAGCATTATCTCCCACAGCATTCTCTACCTAAGCAGGATCACTGTAAACAAGATTCCTGTTTGACTAAGTGCTCCAATGCCAAAACCACGCTAATATTACAGTGTCTTTTTGACTGCTAGTATGCATAGAATTATTTTTTCCTTTAGAAATTATACATTTATACCTTAATCTGACAGTAGAACGCAACACTATATGCACTTATACTGCAAAATTTAACGAACAACATAACTAAGCCCAGAGAAAGGAATTAGCACTGCTGCTGGCCCGACTTGACACATTCAACACACGCTAAATTAACAGTGCATGTATTTTCTATTATAAAGCTCTGGGATATAATTTATCATCAACAGACAGAAGTCAACAACTGAAACGCCTCTGTATTTCTGCACTAAAGCCTTAATTCACAGCTGCTCGGCTCTTAAATTAATGGATTGTCACTTACACGATGCGGAGTGGCATAAGTTAAATCTGTAAACACGTATTTCGCAGTTTCAGTTCCCTCGAGGACTTTGTCGTCTGCTAACACATCATCAATGGGCTCTCGTTCGTCCAGCACTGGCGGCATTCTCAGCTTTTCTTTGGCCTCCTCAATGGCTTTTCTCGTGGCCTTCGGGTAAGAGTTTAATTGATTTCACAATTAGAAGTTAGAAAGGCGGGAGCGGCGGCACCGGCAGCGTACAGCGGGCGGCTCCGCACCGCACCGCACCGCAGCGCAACGCAACGCAACGCAACGCACCTCCTGCAGCTGAGCCTCTGTCAGCAGCCGGTACTTGGGCGGCTTCAGCTCCTGCCGAACCGGACGGAAAACCTTCTGCAGGTTCAGCCCCGTCATCCTGTACAGCAAATCCTGAACCGCTTCATCCGTAAAAGCAGGCTTCGCCTCCCTTTTTTCTGCCGGAGGATTTTACACGCAATGAAAGGGCCGCGCGGGGACGGCCGTATACCCGCCCTCTGTGACCGCCCCCGGCCCGCTTCCCTCTTCCTCAGCCACCCGGACAGCGCCGCACACGCGCTCCGCGATGGGCAGGAAAGGCGGAGAAGGCGCTCCCGCCACCTCCCGCTCGCGCACCGCCCGCTCACGCACCGCCCGCGGTCCCCGCGTCCTGCCCGAGCCCCCGCTGCACGCGCCATCCCCACAGCGCCCGCGCCACGCGCGAGAGCCGCACGGGCGGCACAGCAGCGCCCTTCGCTGCGAGCGCCGCCATCTTGCTCGCGCCCCGCCCCGCCCCGCCGCCGACGCGGGCGCCGCATCGGTCCTGAGGCACGTCGGGAAATGGAGTTCGCGGTGTTTCCGACCGCCGCTCCCCGTGCCGAGAATCTCCCTCGGTCAGAAAGCCGCTCTCAGTGCGTTCGTGTGAACGCTGCGGAGGCGGGAGCCCGAACTGAGGTGGAAGTGCGAGTCGGCGTTCCTGTCAGAGCGGGGGTGTTGGGCAGGAATGGCGCGAAGCAGGGCTGCGGGCCGGCAGGTGTCCGCTCGGCTGCGACACGGAGCAGCAGGAAGCGGAGCTGAGCGCGCGTTGTCCGTTCCCGCCGCCAAGCCGCTGCGTTCCCCCAGTCAGCCAGAAGGCGGCGGGCGGCACCTGGTAGAAGGAGTAATGCTGGGGTGATTGACCCGAAATGAAGAACGTCCTGTGGCTCTCTGATAATCCTGCGCTTACGGGATGACAGATTTTCCGTGCGACCCGTAAATTGGAATAAGTCCAAAGGACACCACGAGTGCTCTTGCCTGAGGAGCGGCACTGCGCCGTGCATCCTTCTCAGGTCGGTGAGAGGTCACTGCCGGCTGTAGCTGTCCTTGTGGGGAACTTCGGTGTCTTGGTACAGGGGGAAATAAATAGCTCACTGCAAGACAGACATTGAGTGCTGCTGTGTGCCCAGAGGGCAGCGGAGCCGTGAGGGGTCTGGGGCACAAAGTGTGATGGGGAGCAGCTGAGGGGACTGGGGTGGGTCGGTCTGGAGAAGAAGAGGCTCAGGGGAAACCTCCCTGCTCTGCAACTCACTGAGAGGAGGCAGTGGTGAAGTGGGGGTCGGCTGCTGCTCCCAGGTTAACAGTGATGGGATGAGAGCTGGTGGCCTTGAGTTGCACCATGGGAGGGTCAGGTTGGAATTTAGGAAGAATTTCTTCTCAGAAAGAGCAGTGAGGCCCTGCACAGCTGCACAGGGCAGTGGGGCAGTCACCGTGCCTGGAGGTGTGCAGAGCTGTGGAGATGTGGCACTGAGGAACGTGGGTATGGTGGGCTGGGGTTGGACTTGGAGATTTCGGGTCTTTTCCAACCTTAATGATTCTATGACTTTGTTAATATAGTAGCTCAGTTATAGCTGAGTATATTTCAGTAGGCGTTACTTAGTTAACTTGCTAATTAGTCTGTACCTTCTGCTGAGCGTCAGCCTGTGGTCAGGGCTGTGTGAATCAAAGAAAATGTATTTTTTTACTTACTTTACTTACTTGAGAAGGGCCCTGAATGATGTGGATTGTAAAATGCTCAAAGCCACAAGGTGATGCAATCTGCTTGACAACTGTCAAACTGGGAAACGTTTCATCTCCTGGAGGCAAGATCTCAAAACAAAAGCAGTGTGCTTAAATATGCTTCCAATTGTTTTAAAGTTGAGTAGGCTGACAGCTGCTGTGCCAAATCAGTCTAAATTGTGTTACACTTGAAAATGGAGATTAAAGTCTTAGGGAAAACAAAGACTGTATAGCATGTATTGGTTTTAGTCAGGCTAAGCATCTGTTTAAGTACGTATTTGTTTGTAATAATAGATCTTCGTTGTACTGGGCAGCATTCTTATTTTACCTAGCTTTATTCAGTACTGAAACACAGGTACTGAGTTGAATTTTGTGTTCAAGCTTTGTCCTTCAATATCGTGACCTTTGCATTATCAGAAAGGTCATAGGAAGGCATATTCTTCTCATATTTATATTGGTACAATCAAGTTGAAATCGCTGAGAATTAGAGCACAAATTAATCCATAATATTATTTTAATGTGATTTTGTGCTTAATTTATTTAAATAATGCCAAGAAAATTAAAAACAATGTTGAGGAAATTGAGAAGATGTTGTTTTTCAGCTCTTGCTTGGAAGACCTCTGGAGTGAGAGCTATACCCTATAAGGGAATTGGGAAGTTATTTGGCGACTTGCCTAAAAGCCACTTCAGACCTGTTCATGAATTTGGATGGCAAGCCAACGTCCATTTTAATTCACAGAAGTGCTTAGAAAAACAAGAGAATTTATTAGACTATATCCAGGAGAGGTTAAATTCACATTCGTTCTGTGCTGGAGTAGTAACAGCTGCTGTGAGGATTAGCCTTTTGGCTGGCAGGATGAAAGGAAATATTAACTAACAGTGCTGGAGATAGAAGTAGAGCAGGTTAATGTGTTTTATAAAAGAATATGAATTTATGTTGGATAGGTTGGTTATATTTTATGTATGGTTTATTGCCATACAGAAGTAACAACTTTAAGTGGGATGTTTTTTATTGGTATACTTACAAATACAAAACCAGCTTGAAAAATTGGTGGTGTAATTATTGATAATGAAATAAAGAATCTCTTAGCTTCAGTTACTATTTTGAATGCATCCCAGGACAATTGATGTTGGAAAATTACAACCATCTGATGAGGGGTGGATGTCCCCTGTGAAACACATTGGTGGTCTGTCTGGATTCTATTGGAAAAGTTTCAATACAAAATCACCTCCACAGTTGGCATTAATTTCCTTTTTGTTGGTAGTTTCAAGGGAGCAAAAGGATCAGATGGCCTCCGACGCTGAACCACTTCGGTTAAGATCTCAGGGAGAAGGAAAGCAAATGGGGAGCCTAGGAGCTCGCATTGTTGCTTTTCCATTTAATAAATAAAATAAGGGACTGTGGCTGCCAGCTTTTCTGAATAGTAATTATGTTAAAATTGTGGTAGCAAGTTGTTAGGAAGGAAGAATTCTCTGTTGGAAAAACACAAAAAGACAAAATGTGAGGTTTGGGAACTGAGCATCCCATTGCTGTAAGAAGAAACAGACTGAGCCCAGTCAGAGTGTCTGCATGACCACAGCTGATGACATGACCTTTTTAAAATTAATGGTTGGTTCTCTTGTTCCTGATAAGAAAGAATCTGGCAATCCTGTGAAACATTTTTCTGAGGGACACAATGGACCAGGTTGGAATCTGTATTCACTAAATCTGCATGGATTAAACTGAAGAGAAGTTATTTTTTCACAGAGAAGGCAGAGATTGTGAAAGTAACAGAAATGACACAAACCTTATTCTATTGTCAGACAAGTAACTAAATGAGTAACATGTTATGTGTGGTTTGTTTTGGTTCCCCAACCCTAGATGGAGTGGTTTATTTCCTTGCTGTAATCATTGGGTGGTAGTAATACTGTTGTCTGTTTTCAGGCATATTATCTGCAAGTTTCTTTTCTTCAGGAGATAAAGTAGTGTTTTCTCTGGAATTGTCCTTTAAGCTCTGTAGCCATGAGCTTGTCTTGCTATCCAAAGCCATTGGTAGCTGTCCCCCTCCAACTTCCACCAGAATCCCTTTATTTTGATGGCGGTGATGACAATGGTGATGATGCATGAGCCTTTGCTAATACATCAAAGGGGTCAGTTTCCGTCCTACAGACCATACAGATATTTGAAGCTGTTTTATTTTGAGATTTCATTTTGATCCGTGGCAGCAGGGACAGAAGGTGGCATACTGAGCCACCGGGCCAAAGTGAGCCGTGAGTGCGGAGCTGTGGGCAGTTCTGCTGGACAAAGCCATTTAGCAAAGCACAGCTGAGATCCGCCCAGAAAATGGCGTAACTGAGGTCAGCCACAGCCATTATCATCCTGCATCAACAGCTGGCTTCTGTCACGTATGCAAAAACCCATGGTGAGAGGGAATGGGGGAAACTTTATGAATGCAAAAGTCTGACAAATGCTTTTCTTCACCATTGTCAGTTTAGCAAGTGCTAACAATATGCATAGCTTGAAGAGCAAATATCCTAGATTTTGGGGTTTTTTTTATTTTGTACCTTGACTATTTGTCATTTTAATTTCAAATTTGAAGGGAAAATTACAAAACCAAGGAGTACTTTTGATTGCATGTACTCTTTACAGGTTAGTTACAGATGAATTTACAGAGCCTGCTTGCTATATTTTCCTGGGCCACGTGGGGGCAAGATTGAGATTTTAAACATTACGAATGAAAGTCCCAGAGTAATTAGAGAGGATAATGTAAATGACCTAGATTTGCCTCTGTCTCACATAAAGCTGCTATAATCTCTCTTTAATAATGATAAATTGGATATATACAAATACTGCCTCCAGTAATTGAGATTACATACATTATTTATGGTAGGGATATAAATCCCACTCTGGTTTATATAGTTTTCTTTGCTACACTATAATGGCTTGAGCCAAAGCCTATTAAAGCCATTGAAAGTCCTTCTCTGACTTCAGTGAGCTCAGAACTAAGCCCATATTTTTCAATAAATTCCATTCTTCTGTTCTGCTTCTGTACTGCTTATCTTTTAAATACAAATTGTTAGAGGGGAACAGTAGTAAATATTTGGTATTATTCAGAGTCTGGTAGTTGTTGTTTTCCCCTTTCTTAATCAATGTTTAACCTCTTTCTCATTCCATTTCTGTTTAAAGTCCCATCCCTTTGAATCCGAGTGCCCGGCAGAGCACTGTGAACTAAACCTGGGCATAACAAGCTGTTATGTGTCCTGCTTATAAACTGATCTAATACCTCTTCAGTGCTAACTGCATTTTTTCTTCCATCCTTTTCTAGTAATAACTGATTTTATTGACACAGCCACCTCGTTCTTCAGTTCTTTCAGTAGGAGGTGAATGCATTTCTCTGCCGATGAATTGTTACTCTTCAGGAATTATTTTTTTCTCAAGACTGATTTGATCCCTTTCAACATTTTTTGTTCATTTTTAGTTAAAAGAACTCTTATCTCTTGTTGCTTTAAGCCTTTTTGTTGCTTAGTGATGCCGAGA